TCTAACCATCCCTTCGTTTTCTCCCTGAAAGCGTGCCCAAACTTTAAAACATCCCGCAGCAGCCCATTTTTCGGTCAGACTGTGTGGGTTCCTCTTAGGGCGACAAAATAACGTAACGCATCCTCAAGTATGCAGCTGCAGCTGCGCCGCGTATTTTTGCTCTCGGAGCTTTGCGAACTGGAACGCGAGGAGTTTCTGTCCGCAGCCAATTTGTCGCCCCGATTCGGTTTAGCTCTGACCGAAAGTCATGTTTTGCTTTCCCAATTCCGCTCTACTAGGTTAAGTAATGTTCAATTTATTTTATCTATATTGCTGCAGATAAAGAGACCTCATTCGTAGCTACGTAACAATGGCGGCATTAAATTCAGCCTCACCTAATTTTCGCGTCAAGTTTTGTTATCGCGTAACAATGGCACTTATTATGCACACTTTATTCGCTAACGATGTTGAATTTTCCATTTCCGCAAAGTTCGTCTAATCGACTCCGAAGCAAAATTCAAGCGCGGTAGAATCCGTATTCGCGAATGAATTCCGAAACGCCCCCGTGAAACAACTTCGAACACCAGCCACATTTCTACGCTATCCTCGCCGCTCTTAATTGTCTCGTTCGCGTAGCCCTTCCCGCGATCCCAACAGGCGTTCAAACTTTAAACTGCTTCATTCCACGCGAAATAACGAGACACGTTCGCGGAGTAACCCGCTGCAAGCACGCTACGCTCGCGCTCTATAATGTCTGTAGCCTGCGAATCTCTCGTCCTCAGCTAATTTGTTAGCCTCCAAGCAAATCGCCCTTTTGCTGATCCACCAATTTTCCACATCTTCTTCGAACACGGAAATTTGCAAACTTTTAACGTTAAAAACGGGGATAATTCCAGCGTTCAAACGTTTCGACAACTTCTACTTTTTGTTCTACTTTCCGGAAGGATTGTAGAATTTACATTTATTGCGAAAACGTATAGATTTTCAGATTCTTCCGACAGAATATTTTTCATACTTCTCCCGTACACATTTTGTTGCTAGAGGAATATCTCAATGGCAGATAAAAGTGCCTAATAAACTTTCCTCACGACAACTTCTTGCATCACGGAACTCATTAGACGCGTTTGTTCCGCTAATTTTCATCCCTATTTTTCTTTCGCCACTTCTAGACACAACGCGTGTCCGCTCAGGTCCACGTGAGAGATTTTTAAGATGGGATTTTAACGAGCACGTAGGGTATTTTTCAGAGTCTTCCTCGCCGGTTGCTTTAATACTTCTCGCCCGCCTCCTCTTGCACGTCGGACGTGCTCTCGAACTTTAAAATGCATTCCGCTTACCCACGCTTCTGTGTGCCAGGATTTTTGCAGCACAAAAATAACGAGATGCATTCGGCGGAGTGCAAGCGTTATCTGCACGTATCGATAACAAGCGCGCGACGGAACGTCATTACCAGCCAATTTGTCGGCTTATAACTCTTTTCGCTGATTCATCCGTGCTTTCTCTCCAATTCCGTTTCGTTACGCAGTCTTCTTTTAAGTTTCTTACAAATTATAAGACTCGTCAAACGCAATCAACGACTAATGAAATTTCGAAAAGACCGCACGTCGCTTTTTTTGCATTTGCGAGTGAAAGTTTAATTAAATCTGTGAACAAAAACAATATTGTAAAAAATAACATTTTCCATAAAATAATGTAATAAAAGATCAAATTTATTTTTGAATGTAACATCGCCAGATATTGTACAGGAATTTAAAAATACATTTTATATATTTTTAACAATTTTTTACAATATTAGTGCTAATAAAATCTCGTATAATTAAACTTTTTGTTTAATTTGTATGACGTATTTCCTGTGGTGCTTTTTGTTAATAAAATAGAATATTCTTTTATTAATTACTACAATTGCCAGGGCAAAGTTGGAACACTGTGCATTATAAAATAATTGCTTAATTAAAGAGCTTTTTATAATCTAAATAAGAGTTTTTTAGAGCTTTATTATCTCTTTATCTTACTTTATGGCATTGAATAAATTACATAAACTATTAATTATTGATTGTCTTTTTTAGAACTAACGAAAATATTAAAAGACTAGAAAGATGCGATTTGATTTTAGTTTGGTCAACTAATTAACTTTCTTAACACACAAAATCACTGGCGTGCTCATGCTTTGTCTATGTCAGACAAAAGAAAACTCAAAGTAACAAAGCCATTCATTTTAGCTTTCGTCGATTATCGAGGGAGAAACGCCTTTCGCCACTTTGTTATAAATGAAACAAGCGCTTATTAATTAACCTATCAAAAATAATGATGAGATAAATTTTACGTTTTCTGACATTATTATCCCCGTTGAAGGAAGTTTGCCTTCTCTGTGTAACTCGTTTAGCGCCGTGTGCAACAAGTTAATACATTTTTTTTGTGACGCTGCGCTAACTCGATAAAAAAAAAGGACCTTTACACACGAACCGTTACGCGTGAACGTTGTTTGTATGACGGAAGGGCTCGACGCGAATGATGAGAGTTCATTGCCCATTCGCGTTTCGAATCGCAGATTCGTGATCGGTATTTACGTCGCAACCACGGCTGCCGTAAACGTGAAGCTGTGGTGTTTATTGACGATCCCGTGCAAACGGATGCTGCATAAACATCCGCGTATTCACGTTCAACGCGTTTGTCCACAATTTGCAGTACTGTCAGTCGCAGATTTCTTGTTCCGAGCCGTAGAAATTTTTTTTATCCAAAAGAGCGAAAACAAGCGCGTCGGAGATTATCGGTTTGAAAAATAAACGAACAAATTTGTACATTTATATTCCTTCACTCACGGCACCAAATGTGAATTTGAAATAGGACGGGACGTCGCAGTATTTTCACTCCGGACTCTAGGATCGACTTCGGGCCGCGAGTCACTCTGACCGAAAGAATTTCGGGACTCGGAAAAGCGAGGGAGCTCCAAGCTCACGGTGGTCGAAATCAATACCGGGTGGCGAGAGCGAGACGAGTAGACTTAGACTAGATAGGAAAGTCGCGGGTGGATGAAAGGAAGGAAGGAAGACACAAAGGAGGCCAAGGAGAGATTCGACTTGGAGCTTTTGTACGCTCGCTCGCGCGCTCGTCCGTACAAGCGCGTCGATAAGCCGCCTCTCGCCGATTATATCGCGAGACTATCGCGAGGTATCGCGCAGAGCTTTTCCGCCAACATGACAGCCGTCAGACCAGCATGGACTCGTTCTGTCGGTTCCTGTACAACGTCATTCTCGCCGTTGTCGTCTTTCTCAGGATCATCAGTGAGTAACGAGAGACCGATACTTCGATCAGGCAGATCTCATTTCGCAGATAGTCGCAAAAATAGTTAGCGCGTAACAAACTCTGGCAGCAACTCTTGTTTGGAAAGCTATTGTTTTTTTTTTCTCTCTTTTTTCTTTATGACAGAAATTACGCGCGATTGTTGTTTTGCAAGCTCTGTGAAAAGCTCTTTATGGATTTTCGGTTGTATCGACAAGTATATCAAAACGGCCGTGTGTATGAGCAATCGCAATAGCTATGCGATGCAAATTTCTGCGGTCGCAAACTCTATATTAACGGACAAGGTGTACTTCGCCAATATTAACTATGCTGAATAAATTTTATTAGTATTCCGTGCGAGTTACCGCGAAGATAGTCGGAATATCGGATAACCGCGACTGCAGTATTTAACTTGGCTATCTATCCCGGACGAGCTTAAAGCTTAAAGCTCGAGCCATTACTCTCTCTTTCTCTCTCTCTCTCTCTCTCTCTCTCTCTCTCTCTCTCTTTCTCTCTTTCTCTCTCTCTCTCTCTTGCAACGTCTAGCGCCAGATAATACCTTGCCTTCGACGATCTCCAACGACAAGCTTTCTTACCGTAATCGCCGCCGCGATAGATTAGCCAAACTTAAATTGGATTCCAACTCGATATTCAGCCTTTCGTTTCGTCCCTTCGCAAAGAGTGCAGTCAAACTCGAATAATCGGCACTTTACAATTAGCACGAAAAATTAATTTTTTTTTATCCGACTGTCAATTTTTTCACGCTCGTATCTTTTCCCTTATCGGGGACGCAGTTTTTCGATGCGCTTTCTGGTCGGCTATAAGAGTAAAAACGGTTGAGACGCATTTATTCCGATATCGAGTGTTCCCGATATGTAACGGGCGACCTTTGGAACGTCCCATGCATGCGCCGGCAGCTGCGGTTGATCGCATCTACTGCCATGGTCTGCCATAACTCGGAACCTTGACCTTTGGCCGCTCGTTATCTACTGATATTTAAAGCCTCGAAACCGCGCCAAGCGAGGCATCGCACGCGAAACAACGAGGCCATTCAGAATTTCTGCAAAGTAATATTCCTTAAAAAATGGCACTATTATCACGTACAGTCACGTCAGTCGGAATAGTAAGTAGCTACGCATGCGTCCGACAAAATCGATGCTTAATTTTCTTCGGTCGGTTCGCGATGCAAAAGCCATTTTGAATTAAGCATTGCAATTTTTAAATAGACGCGATATTTGATTATTTCTTCTGATTATCCTTCTTATTATTCTATAATATTTAATTTTATCTCTGCTTCATTTAAATAAGTGATAACAGTTTTTATAAGATTTGCTTTAAAAATATTAAAATTGTGAATAATTAATCCTTTATATTATGTATTTTGGACAGATAACGTTTTCCATCGTTTTAACTTTTATGCAGGCAAATATAAAACTAACATGACATTTAAAAACCGCATATAATGTTAAAAAAATCTTCTAATTTAAAAAACAATTTTTGGTTTGTTATAAAAATTAAACCACGCCTGGCAACCAAGTAGAAATGAAATAACTTTTTCAAAAAAGTGTTGAATTTGAAAGAATCGTTCGACTAATTTATTTCTAAAAATAAGGATCTACAAGAAATCATGTATAATATCTTCTTAAAGTGCTTTCATCCAGTAATTATAGTTCTAATATTTTTAATACGCTTACACACAATTTGTGAACATAATATAACAGAATATCTCGCTTTAATTTCAGAAAACGGCCTTCTTTCCTTCGAAAATCCCAATTACCACCTGGATCCAGCCCGGCTGGACGATGCTCTGAATAGCAACGGAAACGGCAGCTCTCTGTACGATGAATTGTATCAGGAATTGGTCGGCAGTGGTGGCCAAGGCGGCGAGGTAACCGGCGGCGGGGGAGGGGGCGGTGGAACAAGGGTTCAGGCACGCAGAACCTACGCCACGTTGGATCTGGGCAGTATGGGGGTGGACGTCACCCAGGGCCCCCTCACGCAGGATTCCGTGACGGACGACGCTTCCGACAACACAGACAACCATAACCTAGGGTGAGTGTCGCTACCTCTGTCACGTTCTACCTCTCTCTTTCTCTCGTTGACGGCTGATAAATGGTTTCCCGATGCACGCTGATGGAAAGATATTACCGTGCATACAACCCGATGGAAATTAAGAACGTGCTAAAACGAAAATGCGATAAAATATCGTCGCGTTTCAAATGAATTTCTCAACATACCGTTATTGGTTTTCTTTCGCAACATTTGCTGTCTTGAAAGCTATTCAAGATATTCTCAAGTTGACAAAAGCGACTGATTATTCATTAACGGTGCTCGAGAAAGAAGATCAATGCGAATAATATTTGAAAATTCACTTTCGAGCGTTGGTGCCGTTAGCAAAAGAGAAGTATGTAACTGATTATAAATCGGAAAGCAGCCTTCTGTCGAAATCTTATCCTTTCATCGCGATCAACTGAGATATCCGGGAATCTCTCTTTGGAGCGCGGGAAAATGGAATAAGCTTCGAGCAGCGAAATTGAGGATCCTGCCTCTTTTTCCCTCGTAATATAAGGTCCGGCCACCTATCGCGACCGTCGATAAAACTTTCGAGTTGGACCTCATCGAGGCACCGCATAAAATTTCAATAAATCCGGAAGCGAGAAGAGATGGGCGGAGAGAGAGAGATGGTCCGATAGAACGAACGGTCGATGCTACAAGACAGTTTGAACTTATTCGCGATTGTTACACGAATTCGGCGCAGCCCCGCAGTAGTCGGAATTCACTTCTCTCTACTTTTCTTTCTCGCATTTCCATCGGGACTCCGTGCCATTGTCCGACTCCGCTATCGAGTTTTCGGAGATGTTTAAGATAACACAAAATCACGATTACACTCGTGGAATCGGAAGCACGTCGAATTTGACGTGGGAAAAAATTGGATTTATGCATAAAAAGTATTTGTAAAATATTAATACTTATAAACACGAAATTTACAAATTGTACAAATAATTATAAATTTACAAAGTACAATTCTGTAAAGGCTGATGATTATTGTTTATGCTTTTTGCAGTATACAGTAATTATCTAATTGTAAATTATAATATCTCTTCTTGAAATTTAGCAAGCAACTTAAAGTATTTATCCTCAGCAGTCCAAATGTAATTAATTTTTAATTACTCAAGGAAAAACACTAAGCACTTTCCTCTCTTTATTTTCATTAATGCTTCATCTCTTTCAAAAAAGAAATACGTTCTTTTGTGCCTTATAACATCTGAAATTGTTAAACTCTTATCTTCTCGCCTCCTTAATTCTGAAAACAAGGTTTTCGAAAGGTCAAGACGATCGCCTCCCAATGTCTGCTCTCAGTTCCAATCTACTTTCAGTTAAGATCGAAATTAGATTCGTCGCTTCAGCCAGCTTTCGTAATCACTTTTAATTGTCTCTTCGCTCATCTAGCTTTCAATCACCGGTGTTTTACTTCAAGAGAAACATCTCGTCGAAAAAAATATCGTATTTTTTAACATAAATTATGTAAAATATGAGCGATAAAACTAAAATTTGTCTAAATTTTAATGACCGAACCATTTGGTCTTCTCTAAATCTTCGTATTCGTATTCATATTCAAATTTTCATATTTTGCGAAATTCTTCTTTCTCAAGTTTTGATTAACAATTCAGATGAATACGCCGTGCACCGGCGTCATCACGAAACTCCCCTAAACTAGGTAAAGACCACGTCGCACCGATTTTGCTCATTCCATGGAGGAGTCAAGACGCATTAACGGCTAGCCGCGGGCCGTGAGAGAGTTTCCGCCTGCGGTATAATAAACTCCTTTCTTTCCCTCGGATTTGGACCCTTTTGCCGACACGGAAATCCGGGCAAGCATAAAAATGCAATTAAGGAAACGCCCGACGTCTGGCTGCCTCCTCATAGTGTTTCCTTCTGAAAGTCGCTCTTTCCACAGGATCTTCAATCTCCATTCTCTTTCATATTTCTTCTCTAGTTTAGCTCTCTACGCTTTTAGTGTAATGCGCGATAATGTGAGTGTAGCATGCGTTAGAGAAAGAAAGAAGTTGATTAAATGTACAACAAAATATATAAAGACCTAAAATTAAATTCAAAGAGCTAAGCAATATGATATATTTCTTTGCTAATAGATAGTTTTAATGGAATGAAAGCATCCTTGAATATCTTTGTTCCTCTCTCTCCCCCCCTCGCTGCCATTTGGATGTGATACACGGAAAAGTTCATCCCGTGGAATTTGAAGGGGAAACGCTCGACTCATCCGTACTTCTTTCCCCGCCGTGTAGCTCTCTTGTTCGCTGTGTTGTCGGCAAAATGGCGAAGTAAGGTAATGACGCCATCAGCCAACGAGAATACGACGTTCCTGATCGAATTTTACGGGCACGGGCAGAAAGGAGGAGGGGGAGACGAAAAGCGAATTTCACCGACGACGAGAGCCAGCGAAGGCTTTCATCGCGGTACCACGTTAACTTGATTTACGTGATGCGCTCCTAACGTACGCAACGTTACGTCGTTAGATGCTTGACACACCGGAATAGCTTCGTGCCTCCAGAATGCTTCCGCGGCTACATCGGTGCTGCGACGAAATCGGTAATTTCATCTCGTTCGATGAACGACAGATAAATTGCGTTTAAGATGCGTACGCTCGTGCAGTGATTTTGAGAGCATGAGAGAAGCGATTTTATCGAAAGGTGCCACTTTGAAGGAACTTTCCCTCTAATTAATATATCTACAACTATATTATACAATTTGCGATATATGAGCAGCCAAAATATCGTAAAAGTAGCTGTATCCGAAAATAGGAAAAAATTAGATATGCAAAAACAGTTAAATTATTATGGCAATTTCAAACTTGAAGTTGCAAAAGTAGTTACATCCTTTTTCGTATAAAGGATTATTTTTATCAATAATTTATCAATAAAAAATTTGACTAAAAGTAAAAGATGAAAAGACTTCTTAATTTTTCAAAAAAAAAAAAAGATTTTTTTAATAACTTGATTGAGAAAAAATTATACAAGTTTTTTCGCTCTTGCTTCGAAAAGAATTTCAAATAGATTTAACTACTTTTGCCAATGGGCTACTCATATATAATACATTGTTATTAATCATTTAATATTTGTCGTTTATTTTACGCGCATTATCGAGCACCACCGATAATTAAATTATCGAACTGTATTGCGCGTTCACGAGCGTTGTACGAACACTTTCACGGAATTGTCGGTCCGCGATATATTACAATTCACGAAGCGCGTTTAGAAAACCGCAACATCAGCAATTACCGAGCGGTGAACTCTTGCAAGGCGCTCATTAAATGCGGCGACATTAAACAGCTCTTGCTGATAAGCGCGCCCAGCGCGTCGATAGCTTCCAGGAAAAAATTTCCACGGCCGTGCCACACAATTCCACTTTGGGCGGCCACCTTTGTCACCTTCAGGGGTGGCGGAAAGAGAGGGAGAGAGAAAGAGGGCAAGAGGCACAGAGGCGCGAACTCGAAGACGACGGTCTGGGCACGAAACGTCCCGACGTTTCCACCTCCGGCTGGATATTAGGCGATAAGCTGGCCGTACGGGGGGGCAAGAGGGCGACAAAGGACCGATGGTTGAGTCACGATAGGGCAGAAGGTGCGAGGAAGGTGGCACGGTCTCGATGTGTGTGTGTGTCTGTGCTCGAAGATTGAACTCAATCTAAACTTGCGACAAACTTTGCCCGGGCTGCGCGCTATCTCTCATACCTCTGTCGATTCTCCATCTACAACCTCCGACCTTGTTCGCGATAGGGCGGAGGTGACGTCCCGAGACCAAACGGGTTACATCCGCGCCAAAGTGAGGGAAACTCGCCGACTACGTGGAAGGAAAGAAGGAACGCACTCTTTGAGATGAGATCCTGGAAGAGCGAGGGAGAGGAATTCTGACAAAGTATCATTCGAGAGATTATTGCATAAAGTTCATTGTAATTTACGATGGAATTCGCGTGATAGAATTTGAGATTAGAACTGCATTTATAATTTTTTACAATGTGACACAAAGAAAGCATTTGAAAGATAAGAATACACACATGTATTCTTGTTTGTGCACATACAAAATATAATGCGTGTATTCCGATTTTCCAAATGTTTTCTATGAAAGTATATTTAGTATAAAATTGCAAATAGATTTTTATCTTAAATTCTCTCTGTCGCGAATTATAAATCGTTTAAAGCGGATTTAATGAGCGCGTAAAGGAGTAGATAATTGGATGTCATTAGTGTAGGTAACAGAACAATCGCTGTTTCGCGAATGCTTGGAAAAAAGATTGAATTACGTTTCAAAGATACTCAACTTTGCAGTGCAAAAGTTTAAAAGAAAAAACGATTGAAACTTTAAAGCTGTTAAACGGATAGCAGAATTGTTTTTTTTAAAGATGTATTATTTTATGTCAGGTACTTGTTTATTGCGTAACGTAAACCAATCTAACTAGAAAGGCGGAATCGCAGCGTGTAAACGTTGCGCGGAAATAAATGATCACGCTCGGAAAATTATATACGCGAGGAAATCGTTTAATGCTGGAAAAAAGCGCGGAATTTATGGAAGCGTCATAGCGTTTTTAATAGCCAGACCTCTTCATATATCTGCCGGAGCGGTCGGCAAAGAGCAAAGGAATATTAACGAGAAAATGCATTTTCTTTGTCAAATAAAAAGTAGCCAGCGCGCACAAAGAGTTAAATTAAAAAATTAGAAGCCTGTAAAGACGCGCCGCGCTACCAAACAATTAAAAATCGCTTTAATTTTAAATCCTAAAAATTTAGTAAAATCTCGCGTGCATTTTTCTTTTTTTTTCCAACAAATCCACCTCTCACCGGACATATCCTCATGAAATTCAAAACCGGTACGGAATCGTAGCACCGAGTAAATCGCGTTTCATCGCGAACTACCGTCGATGAAAAGTGGAAATTTCCGCGCGAAAAAGGAAGCACTGATAACGTGCGAAACGAGGTTATCGCGCTGGATGTGTGTGCACGGGGCTGAATTATGTCGCGGCTCCCATGATTTCACATC